CCAATTAATGACAGCATTGATTATTTCAATCTTACTTTGGTCTCTAACCCATTGTATCTTTGATGCTCAAAAATCCATAAACCTCGGATACAAGATGAACAAAAGTGAATACCAACCTTTTTATGGAGAAGAATTTCCTAACTTACTCACATTGCTACTATATGTGATGACACATGTGGCATTTCCATGAAAAGGATGCTGCCAGCCTTGCTGAAGAACACATTTGGTCAACCATACAACTGAGCAATGTCATGTATGAATTTCAGACCGGTGCTATATGACACATGTAGGCTGGACTTCCCAACTATCATCTTAATTTATCAAACATCTTTCTTTGACTGTTCACAATGGGATGAATATACATCATAATCAACTAGACTGTATTTGCAAAGCATAAACAAAACGTCTACTATTAGATGTGATTTCACATTCTAGTAGAACTTGCTTAATCTTGAGTGCACTAACAGCTAAACCAGATCAATTAAAGACAGTGCAGTTATAAATGTAGAGATAACATAGTGTGGAGCTGGAGGAACATAGCAGGCCAGGCAGCACCAGAGAAACAGGAAAGTTGACATTTCGGATTGGGTCCCTTCTCACAACATACATTCTTAAACAAAGTCATGCTTTCTGGATGATGTTCCCAATGACTGGTGAGTCCAGAATCAGGGGTCACAGTTGAAGGATATGGGTGGGTGGGGTCATTTAGGGTTGACAAGAAATTTCTTCACTCAGAGTATGGTGAACCTGTGGTATTCTCTGTCACAGAAAACTGTTGAGACCAAAACATTGAATGTTCTCAAGAAGGAATTAGATACAGATATTAAGGCTAACAGGGATCAAACGATACGGGGAGAAAGTAGGAACAAGGTATTGAGTTCAATGATTAGCCATGATCAGACTGAATGGTGGAGCAGGCTCAAAGGGCTGAATGGCCTACTCCTGCTCTGATTTTATGTTTCTATTCAGCCCATTATGTCTGCATCACCATTCACTGAGATCATGGCTGATGTGATCATCCTCAAATCACTTTCCTGCCTTTCCCCCGTAAATTTTGATTTCCGTACAGAGTAAAAATTTGTGTCTCAGCCTTGAATATAATTAACGACCCAGCCTCTACAGTTCTCTGCAACAAAAGATTTCTATAGATTGACACATTCCAACAAAAGAAATTCCTCCTCTTCTATGGTTTATATGAGACCCCTTATTCTGAGATTATGCCCTTTGGTTCTAGATTCTTCCACAAGGGAAAACAACCTGTTCTCATCTAATGTTTTAAGAGCAAGGATTGCTGCACTTGATAAAAGCAACTAACCTGACACTCACTAAGTACTGTTTACACAGCTGCTTGTTCAAGCAGTAGTGGAAGCCTAGTTTGCAGATGAGCTGGAGCTGAAGGGTGTGTGTGAATGGAACTGTGGCTGGCAACAAGTAGCTGATCAATCTGTGGACTAGTGACCAATTATCAATGACAAAGACTTTCTATCTACCAACAACTATGTGATTGGCTCCCAGCGAGCTCAACAACATAGGGGTGTGCATATTTTGGCCGCAGTAATTGGATCTCTGCAAATGCAGGCACTGCCTCTTGTGTCTACAGTAAAAAGTATCTCATGTAGCTTCATTTCCTTTTTCCAGTTGCTGTATGCTGTGACTTAACTGATAAGTCAAAGACCTTTATAAATGAGCCAATTACCACATGCCTTCTGGAAATAGGTGAAAGTACCTGGAGAAGGAAGACTGAGAAGCAGCATTCTGATCAGTAAAAGAATATTCACAGCAAACCTGATGGACAGCAGCCACTAAGTTGCTTTTCCAGTCTTTCCCACTGCCCATAACATCAATTATTTTTCTTGCCTGTGTCTGTTGGTATGTGTGAGCCAAGTGGCAGTTTAAAAGTGGGTTAGAGTTTTGTAAAGATTATGTCCTTATATTTTTCCTACCTGTTCAACTGTGAAGTGAATCAAAAAAAACTGCTCTAAGCCTAACAATTGCTGTATGTTTTGAAAGCAAGTAACTGTATACTCACAGTAAGCACGGTTTACATAGCTCCTTGATCGAACAGTGCTTAAAGTGTGGTTGCACATGCACTGGAGCCGAGAGGTTATGCACAGATGGAGCTGATTGGTCTGTGGATCAGTAACCAGTTACTGATGACAAAGGCCTTCTGCATGCTAACAACTATCTGATTGGTTCTCAGGTAGCTGAAGATTTTGGGATTGGGAACAAGATTCAGTGAAGGTATCACCAGCTCAGGAGCTCTTTCTGTTCTCTGTGGTTAAAATCACTTAAAGACTGAATAAAACTAGTTTATCTTTCATTCAGCAATTGCCGTAAACAGAGACTTTTAATTAATAGTTCAGAGATGTTTTAGAAGTGAATCAGCCTCCTTTTGCCTCTTGCAAATGAGTGGAAGCATCTGGAGACAGATGACCAAGAAGCAGCATTGTGATCAACATAAGAATCATAAGAACATCACACAATCCTGTGAACAGTAATCACTGAGATGCCTTCTCAGTCTTTCCTTCCATTCGCAACAGCCATTTTTTCCTGTCTCTGTGTGTACATAAGAAAGAGTTTAAAAGGGGATTAGGGTTTTAATTAGTAGAGTTATATGCAAATGTTCATTATAGTTCACTTGCAGCTAGGGTTTAATTACTTGTAATAAATAATAATTTTCATTAAGTTCCAAAATATGGTCCATGTTTTCTCTCAACTTTGGTCTGAAAGATAGCTAGAATGGGGAATCTTTGCATACTTTTAAAAATCTTTAACTTTTGTGATGATTCACCATGATTTCCAGTATGCTGCCCCACAGAAGTGCAACAGTTTAAACGAGTAGAGTTCTATCTTAACAGTTTACAATTGTTCATCTATAATTAGAATCTATTTATTTCTAATTAATAGTTATTCTCGTAAAGGACAGAAACCTGGTCTATGCTTTCTATCAACCTGGGTCTGAAAGAATTGTAGATTGGAGAATTCTGCATATTTCTAAAATCTTTAACTTTTGACTCCGGGAATAAAAGGGCGTGATTTTCATCTGGGTACCACACTGAAGCGTAATAATCATCTCTCTTCTTCGTGAAGACAGGGACAAAACACTCATTTAGAACGCTGTCCATATCTTCAGCATCCATGCTGAAATTACCATAGACATCTCCGATAGACCAACCTGCTGCTCTTAATATGCGAATAAAATATCTTTGGACTTTCTACAGTTTTAATCATCAATATTCTTCCATACCATCTGTTTGGTTTTATAATTTCATTTTTCACATCATCCCCTGTTCTTTGTATACTCTGATTTCATTCTCATGCTCTTTAACATTTGCTTGGTATTGTAACAATCCCACTTGATGCCATTACTGGACAAGTCAAATCGCAGACTGAAATCTGGCTTGATACATCTTATTTTGCTTTATTTAACAGGGTGGTCTCTCACTGTAACACAAGTGCACAATGCTGCAGTTTTGGGTTTTAACAATAAAACAGAAGTTTATTAAACAAAGCAAATGAAGTAAATATAATAAACCAAGCTACTTACATATAACACAATTAGAAAGATTCTGAAATACATGGTAAAAATACAATCCCTTGTATCCCAACACCATCATTTCACAATGCTCAAATATCAGACAGCAGTCTTTTCTAAAAAATCCATAGGTTTGACTTAACTATTTCTTTCAATTCCTGATTTTGAAAGTTTGATAGCCTCATCCTTGATTATTCAGATATTTCAGCTTAGACTCTCTCAGCTTCAAATAACCCCTTCAGAGTTCGAACCAAATACTTCTGGGCTGAAACTTTCCGCCTACAACCCTTAAAATATGGCACTGAGGTACTAACCCCTACACTACTTTCTAACTGTTCTGAGTTAACTCCTTCCTCCAGGAGAAACTGTTTTTATATCGAACTTCAACGAAGACTTCCGTCAACTGGAACCAAAATGGTTTCTATGGGTTCTTCCTCGAAGCAAAAAAAAACAACTTCTAAATCAAAAGCAAGCTAATGCTTTCAATGTTTACTCTATTTGATCATAAAAATCACAATGCAAACAAATTTCCATGACCATTCCAGCAGCTGACTCTCTCTCTCATTCCAGAGGATTGTGTACAGATCTGGGCGTTACATTATAGGAAGGATGTGAATGCACTGAACAGAGTGTGGAAGAAGTTTACAAGAATGGTTCCAGGAATGAGGAACTTCAGCTATGAGGATAGATTGAGGAAGTTGAGACTGTTCCCTTTAGAGGGAAGGAACCAAAGAGGATATGTAATAGAAATTTGCAACATCAGGAGTGGGCTGGATAGAATAGATGGAGAGGAACTATTCCTGCTCAGAAAGGAAACAAGAACAAGAGGCATAGATTTAAAGTAATCTGCAAAAACAACAGGGGTGAAGTGAAGAAAAACTATTTGACACATTGAGTTGTTAGGGTATGGAATACATTGCCTCTAAGTGTGGTGGAGGCAGGTTGAGTTGAGGCATTTAAGAGGGCAATGGAAGATTACTTGGATAAAAATAGTGTGCAAGAGTATGGGGAAATTAGCAGGAAATTGGCACTAGGTAATGATACTCATTTAATGAGCCAGTGCAGGTATGATGAGCTGAATGGCCTCCTTCTATGCCATAACACTAGTGATTCGATTGTTTAATAAAATCATGGCTCCAGAAAGACTGACAAGTTAATTATTAACCTCATATTCACCCTCATACTCACAGATCAAAACCCACAGGCCACTTGTTCAAAATCCAATTTCTAAAATAAATTATAACATATGTAACACACCTTACATCACAATGTCACTGATGAATACTGTTCAAAAGAATTAGTGCTGGTGTACTTATAATCCACTGGTATGTTTACTGCTGGAGATTTTCTTGCCTATAAATAATGACTATACCCTAAGTTATTCAAAAAAATTAGCTGTTTAGAGGCTGTGAGAATAGGGACGCCAGCTGCATTAATGAAAAACAGTCACCAAAGTCACAATTACCTGGTAATCAGTTGGCATGGCAGATCCACCAGAGGTTGTAGCTGATGTGCCTATTCGAGGTTTCTTGTTTGGAGGTGCCTGATTGAGACTGCTGTCCTGGTTATGCTGTAGGCCTGCTCCTGGTGCTCCTCCGCCACCTCCTCCTCCAGCAGCTGTCCCATTTGTCTGTGTGCTGTTTTGTTGTTGGGGGGCTTGTTGCTGTTGATTCTGTGTTGTCTGCTGCTGGTGTTGCTGAGTTTGCTGTTGATTCTGTTATCAAGATAACGTAAAATGTAATTATTCCACCTAGAACTCCAACAACCTCATAACTCTAATATGTATTTCAAAAACAACAGACCTAGAACTTTAAAATCAAAGCAAATGTTGCTTGGTAAAAGTATATATAAGCTCACCCACTTCCTGTGTAGCAATGCATCAATATTTTGGCAGAAAATGATTGATTAATACAGTTATCCATTCACATTTTGCAACTCTTCGCATTTCTGGAATTCTGTATTACATATCCTAATGGGAATATAGCTAACTCTTATAGAAAATATTTTCTGTTCCACTACCTTTCGTTTTTAGCTGTTCTACCAACTTCGTACTAAAATTAGGTTGTATATTTTCTCGTAATTTTTTGCATAATTCTATGTGAAATAGTTACACTGGCTACATAAGAACATATGAATTAGGAGCAGGGAGCAGGCTATTCAGCCCCTTGAACCTGCTGTGCCAACTAACAAGATCTTGGCTAATGTGATTGTGGGTGCAATTCTACCTTTCTGCTTATGTGCAATATCGTTTTACTTCAAGTCAAGAATCCATTTCTTAATTCTGGGGAGGCAGTAGCCTAGTGGCATTATCCCTAGACTGTTAATCCAGAGATCCAGGTTAGAATCCCGCCACTGCAGATGGTAGAATTTGAATTCCATAAGTATCTGGAATTAAGAATCTAATGATAACCATGAATCCATTGTCGATTGCTGGAAAAACCCACCTGGTTCACTAATGTCCTTTAGGGAAGGAAACTGCCATCCTTACCTGGTCTGGCCTACATGTGACTCCAGACCCACAGCAATATGGTTGACTCCTAACTGCCCTCTGGGAAATTAGGGATGAGCAATAAATGCTGCCTGGCCAGCGACGCCCTCATCCCGTGAATGAGAAAAAAATTTACTTGCACCTTTAAAACGTTTGATGACCCTGCATCCTCTGCTGTCTAAAGAACATCATTCCACAGACTCTCAATCCCCCAAACAAAAAACATTCTCATCATCTTTGTCTTAAATGGGATAATGCTTATTTGTAAAACTGTGAACCAGGTTCTAGCCTCTCCCTTGAGGTGGAACCTCTTTTCAGCATCTACCCTGTCAAAAACCCTCAGGATCTTACAGGTTTCAGTAAGATCTCCTCTCATTCTTCTAAACTCCAAAGGACGCAACACCAATCTGTCTAACCTTTCCAAATTGGCGAACCAACATTATCTCAGGATCAATTGAAAGAAAGCTCTCTGCAGTTATTTCTTCTCTTAAATAAGGAAACTAAAACTGTACATCGCACCAATACCCCATACTGCAGCAGTAAAACACTTTTATGCTCCATTCCCCTTGCAATAAACAACAACATTCCACTTTTCTTCCCAATCACTCGCTGCATGTGAACACTAACTTTTCATGATTCAGATACCAGGTCACACAAATCTCTCTGTACCTCAGAGTTCTGCAATTTCTCTCAATTTAAATAATATACTGCTTTTCTATTCTTCAATAAGTTTGTCTTTTCCAATATTTCAAAATCAGGAGGGCAAAAAGGGGATATAAGATAGGTTTTGCAAATAGGGTAAAGGAGAATCCAAAGGGATTCTACAAATACATTAATGGCAAAAGGGTAACAAGGGAGAGAATAGGGAGATCAGCAAACCACCTATTCATGAAACCGCAAGAAATGGAGGAGATACTAAAAGAGTATTTTGCATTAGAGTTTATTGTGGAGAAGGATATGGAAGATAAAAGAACATGGGGAAATAAATAGCGACATCTTGAAAAATGTCCATATTACAGAGGAGAAGGTCTGGATATCTTAAAACGCATGAAGGTGAATAAATCCCCAGGACCTGATCAAGTGTACCCTAGAACTCTGGGTAGCTAGGGAATAGCCACAGGTGAGGTGCTGGAAGACTGGAGGTTGGCTAACATGATGCCACTATTTAGGAAAGGTGGTAAGGAAAAGCCAGGGAGCGATAGGCCGGTGAGCCTGACATTGGTGGTGGGCAAGTTGTCGGAGGGAATCCTGAGGGACAGGATTTACATGTATTTGGAAAGACAAGGACAGATCAGGGATAGTCAACATGGATTTGCGCGTGGGAAATCATACCTTACTAACTTGACTGAGTTTTTTGAAGAAGTAACAAAGGGGATTGATGAAGGCAGAGTGGTGGATATGATTGCTACGGACTTCAGTAAGGCGTTTGACAAGGTTCCTCAAGGCTGATAGGTAAGGTTAGATCACACGGAATACAGGGAGAACTAACCATTGGATACAGAACTAGCTTGAAGGTAGGAGACAGACAGAGGATGGTGGTGAAGGGCTGCTTTTCAGGCTGAAGGCCTGTGACCAGCGGTTTGCCATAGGGATCGGTGCTGGGTCCACTGCTTTCGTCATTTATATAAATGACTGGAGTGTAAACATAGAAGGTATAATTAGCAAGTTTGCAAATGACACCAGAATTGGAGGTGTAGTGGACAGCAAAGAAGGTTACCTCAGAGTACAACGGGACCTTGATCAGATGGGCCAATGGGCCGAGGAGTGGCAGACGGAGTTCAATTTAGATAAATGCGAGGTGCTGCATTTTGGCAAGGCAAATCAGGGCAGGACTTATAGATTTAATGGTAAGGTCTTGGGGAGTGTTGCTAAACAAAGACACCTTGGAGTGCAAGTTCATAGTTCCTTGAAAGTAGAGTCCCACGTAGACAGGATTGTGAAGGTATTTGTTATGCTTGCCTTTATTGGTCAGTGCATTGAGTATAGGAGTTGGGAGGTCACATTGCGGCTCGACAGAACATTGGTTCAGCCACGTTTGGAATACTGCGTGCAGTTCTGGTCTCCCTGCTACAAGGATGTTGGGAAACTTAAAAGGGTTCAGAAAAGATTTCCTAGGATGTGGCTAGGGTTGAAGGGTTTGAGCTATATGGAGAAGCTGAATAGGCTGGGGTTATTTTCCCTGGAGAGTCGGTGGCTGAGGGGTGACCTTATAGCGGTTTATAAAATCAGGAGGGGCATGAATAGGGTGAATAGACATGGTCTTTTCTCTGGTGTAGCCGAGTCCAAAACAAGAGGGCATTGGTTTAAGGTGAGGGGGAAAGATTTAAAAGGGACTTAAGACGCAACGTTTTCACACAGAGGGTGGTGTGTGTGTATAGAATGAGCTGCCAGAGAAAATAGTGGAGGCTACTACAATTACAACATGTAAAGGACATCTGGATGGGTGTATGACCAGGAAAGGTTTATGAGGGATATGGGCCAAATGCTGGCAAATGAGACTAGATTAATTTAGGATGTCTGGTCGACATAAACGAGTTGGACTGAAGGGTCTGTGTCTGTGCTGTACATCTCTATGACTCTATCTGCCAATGTTTTGGCCATTCAGTTAAGCCATCTATATCCCTTTACAGACTAATTATGTCTCTTCCCAACTTATTGTCTATTAGGCTGTAAGATGTAGGAGAAATGGGCCATTCAGGCCATCCACTCTGTTTCATCTAAGAATCTTTTATGTTTTAACAAGATTGCCTCTCCCTCTTCTAAACTCCAATGAGTACAGGCCCAACTCACTCAACCTAAACCTAAGAAGGGCACTCGATACCCAGGACCGACATTATCTGGGCTGCTTCCAATGCCAGCATACGTTTCCTTAAATAAGGGGACCAAAATGGTTTGCAGCTTTCCAGTTGTGGTCTGGCTAGTGCCTTATATAGTTTTAGAAAGACCTTCCTATTTTTGTACTCCATTCCCTTTGAAATAAAGATTAATTCCATTTACTTCCCGATTACCTGCTGAATTTGTATGTTAGCTTTCCATGATTTATGCACAAGGATTCCCAAAACCCTCTGAACTACAGCATTCTGCAGTCTTGCTTCATTTAAATAATGTTAGCTCTTCTTTTCTTCCTGTCACAGGATGCAGCCTCACATTTTCCCACATTATATTCCATCTCCCAAGTTTTTGCCTACTTGTTTAAGCTATCTATATTTCTCTGCAGACTTTTAGTGCCACATCTCATTCTTCAAAACTCTAGAGTACAGGAAAAGGTTTCCAGCCTTTCCTTATAGGTCAGTCGCTCCAATCCATGAACAAGTCTGGTGAGCCTTTGTTACACTCCCTCTATGGCAATAACATTCTTCTTAAGATTTGGAATCAAAACTGCACACAGTACTCCAACCATGCTCTAACCAAACTTCTATAGAATTGAAGGGACACTTTGCTGTTCCTTTAGTCAAATCGTCTTGTAATCAAGGCTTATATAGATCCAATTGTTCACTTTTGGAATTAAAAGTCCTACATTTTCAAGGATGGTGCGGGCATAAGAGATGCCAGTGAATTTTGGGGATATTGCTGAGCAGGGAATTGCTCCAGGAAAGGTGCATGGTAATATGAGCTGGAGATCAGACATGAGATACTATAAGGGCATGGTGGGCATTTAATGAGACAAACGTACTAGGTCACACGGTGAAAAGTCCTCCAAAAAATCCTATCACAACACAGAGTTGGCCAAAGAAACATAAGATTCAACCCAGAGACGGCAAGAACTGCAGATGTTGGAATCAGGAATAGCAAAGTGTGGAGCTGGACGAATACAGCAGGCCAGGCAGCATCAGAGGAGCAGGAAAGTTGACAGTTCAGATCGGGACCCTTCTTCAAAAATGGGGAGTTTCAGGGTCAAAGAGATTACCAGAGGGTTACAGTGGAAGAGAGATCCACTGAGGTCTTTCTGGAGGGAGGAGGACAACTTCTTCAAGGTGAGTATCCTTGGAAGATGCTTCGCAGTGGGGTTATAAATCATTCAGAGATAACAAGAACTGCCAATGCTAGAGTCAAAGATAACAAAGTGTGGAGCTGGAGGAACACAGCAGGCCAGGCAGCATCAGAGGAGCGGGAAAGCTGACGTTTCGGGTTGGGACCCTTCCTCAGATTCTAAGATTCAACTCAACTATTTCACATTTAATCTATCAAAAACCAACCATAATTTTAAAACCCTCTATTGTATTCTATTAGGTCACTTCTCAATCATCCCTTTTCAAAACAGACCCAAACTGATCAACTTTTTTCTGATAGGTACAATCTAACAATCTTACATCATTCTCTTATTTATGCTTTGCAAGTTTGCCAATTTTCATACAGCCTTCCAAAACTGATGGCCAGAACTGTACTCCAAGTGAGGCCTAACCAAGGGTCAATATAGAAGTTTTGCATAATGTCTCCACTTCTTATTTTGATCTCTTGAGAAATATTCACAAGTGCTTGTTTTTTCTTAATGGCCTTATTAAGCCTCAGAGTCACAGAGCTGTACAGCACAGAAACAGACCCTTCACTCCAACACGTCCATCCCGATCAGATATCCTAAATTCATCCAGTTCCATTTGCCAGCATTTGGTCCATATCCATCTAAACGCTTCCTAATCACATATCCATCCAGATGCCTTTTAAATGCTGTAATTGTACCAGACTCCACCACTTTCTCTGGCAGCTCATTCCACACACGCACCACCCTGGACATGAAAATGTTGCCCCTTAGTTCCCTTTTAAATCTTTCCCCTCTCACTTAAACCTATGCCCTCTACTTTTGGACTCCCCCACTCCGGGGAAAAGACCTTGGCTATTCTCACACTATCCATGCCCCTCATGATTTTATAAACCTCTATAAGGTCACCCCTCAGCTGATGACTCTCCAGGGAAAATAGCCCCAGCCTATTCAGCCTCTCCCTATAGGTCAAACCCTCTAACCCTGGCAACATCCTTGTAAATCTTTTCTGAACTCTTTCAAGTTTCACAACATCCTTCCTGTAGCAGGGAGACCAGAATTGCACACAGCATTCCAATAGTGGCCTATCCAATGTCCTGTCCAGCCGCAACGTGACCTCCCAACTCCTACACTCAATGCACTGACCAATAAAGAGATGGGGTGGCACAGTGAATCAGTGGTTAGCATTGCTGCCTCACAGTGCCAGGGACCCAGGTTCAATTCCACCCATGGGCGACTATCTGTGTGGAGTTGGCACCTTTACCCCCGAGTCTGCATGGGTTTCCTCCAGGTGCTCCGGTTTCCTCCCACAGTTCAAAGATGTGCATGCTAGGTGGGCCGTGCTAAATTGCCCCTAGTGTTCAGGGATATGTAGATTAGGTGGGTTATAGGGGAATGGTTCTGGGTGGGGATGCTCTCAGGGTCGGTGTGGACTTGTTGGGCCAAAGGGCCTGTTTCCACACTGTAAGGATTCTATAAAAAAAAATACCAAACACCTTCCTCACTATCCTATATACCTGCGATTCCACTTTCTATGAACTATGAACTTGCACTCCAAGGTCTCTTTGTTCAGCAACACTCCCCAGGACCTTACCATATAGTTTATAAGTACTGCCCTGATTTTCCTTTCCAAAATGCAGCACCTCACATTTATCTAAATTAAACTCCATCTGCCACTCTTCAGACCATTGGCCCATCTGATCAAGGTCCCGTTGAACTCCGAGGTAACCTTCTTTGCTCTCCACTACATCTCCAATTCTGGGGTCATCTGCAAACTTACTAACCATTCCTCCTATGTTCACATCCAAATCATTTACACAAATGACAAAACGCATCTGACCTGGCACCGATTCTTGTGGCAGACAGCTGGTCACAGGCCTCCAGTCTGAAAAGCAACCCTCCACCACCACATTGTCTTCTACCTACGAGCCAGTTCTGGATCCAAATGGCTGGCTCTCCTTGTATTCCTTGTGATCTAACCTTATTAACCAGGCTACCATGAGGAAACTTGTCAAATGTCTTACTGAAGTCCATAAAGATCACATCCACCACTCTGCCTTCATTAATCCCCTTTGTTAGTTCTTCAAAAAACTCAAACCAAGTTAGTAAGACATGATTTCCCACGCACAAAGCAATGTTGACTATCCCTGATCAGTCCTTGCCTTTCCAAACACATGTAAATCTTGTCCCGCATGATTCCCACCAACAACTTGCCCACCACCAATGTCAGGCTTACCTGTCTATAGATCCCTGGATTTTCTTTACAACTTTTCTTAAATAGTGGCACCACATAAGCCAACCTCCAGCCTTCTGGCACCTCACCTGTGGCTACTGATGATACAAATATCTCAGCAAGGGAACCAGCAAACACTTCTCTAGCTTGCCACAGAGTTCTAGGGTAAACCTAATCAGGTCCTGGGGATTTATCCACCCTTATGCATTTTAAGACGTCCAGCACCTTCTCCTCTGTAATATGGACATTTTTTCAAGACGTCACTATTTATTTCCCCACGTTCTCTATCTTCCACATTGCAGATTTTATTGTGTATTTGTACTTCCAGATTCCAATGCTCTTCTTTAGATTCTAGCTTTTCCAAGTTAAATGTGACTTCCTTATCAAAATATAATACTTCACAGTTCTTCTTTTGCCAATTATACACCTTTACTGCAAGTTTATTCTGTTGTTACTTATTGCACTGCTCCACAGTGTTGACTGTACCTCTCAAACTGTTGTCTGAAAATTTAGAAATTGTGCTTTTGAATCTGAGGTTTGTTTTGTCAACATCAATTGTGAAAATCAGTTGTCCTACTACTGGTCCTTGTGGAGCGCTATGAAAGGAAACCTCTTTGAAACATATAAGATTATTAGGGGGCCTAACAGGGAGATACGGAGAGGTTGTTTCCTCTTTAAGACAATCTAGGATTAGAGGTCGTAATTTCAGAATAAAGGGTTGTCCATTTAAGTCAGAGATCGGTGGAATTTTTTTCTCTAAAGGCTAGTCAATCTGCGGAATTCTTTACCACAGAGAACTGTTGACGCTAGGTCATTATGTTTCTCAAGGCTGAGAGGCAGATTTTTAATCAGTAAGGGAATCAAGGACAATGGTGAAAAGGAACGAAAGTAGCCTTGAGAATTATCAGATCAGCCATGATTCATTGATTTGTGCAACACACTTGATGGGCTGAATGATCTACCTCTGCTTCTAAATGTTATGGTCTCAAGGCTCCATTGGCCCATTTCTGTCACTCTGAATTGCTACCCATTACCCCACTTGCTGTTTTGTGTCTTACAGTAAGCTTACTATCCATTCTACTATTTATCCCCTAACTATCTGTGCTCGGACCTTATAAATGTATGTGTAGTGTGAAACCTTATCAAAGGTTTTCCAAAATCTAGATGAATAGAAACAAAATGATGTTTTTTTCGAACATGCATGAAAAGGATAAACGCGTTGGCTGACTTCAAATGTAGATGAATCGACAAATTCTATGTCTTGCTTTCTCTCTTACCTTTTCACCTTTCTCTTCTGCTTCATCTTCATTAAGAAATTCCCGCTTAGGATATGGGATCTGGCAACCTGCAAAGACACTAAAATTTTTTTAAAAAATTGTAAATTTGCAGGGGACAGCACAGCAAAAAACATAAATCACTGTTAATGGCTTTACATTTAAAACGTAAATATAGAAATAAACATATTATACACCATATTCAAATATTTGTAATCATGTCAATAAAACTTCCCATTGCACTACACAGATACAGGTATTGCTATGCACCATCAGACATCAATATAACAATAATAATGATGTTACAATAAATGAAAGTGAAAAAAGGCACAATAATGTAACATAAACGCAAGTTATTCTGAACTTTATCACTATCAGTATTAAAAATTTAGTCTTAGTCTATTTTCAACTACTCTATAATCAGAATAAAGCTTTAAACTTCGATGGGATGAATATTTGATTAGAATGATTTGATGAGCCATTGCAGAAATTATTGTAATGAAAACTAACAGCATTTCATTATTGATAACATGAAATCATCTTTTCATTTTCAGTTATCTAAATCTCTAGCTGTGCCATTAATACAGAATGTTTGGGGCCAAGTGGATCTCATGTAGAGGTCAAGTATTTTCTACAAAGAGAAAGAGAAGGAAGCCTGGGTTGGAGAAGTAATATAGGCACATCAGAAATCATGGATTAAATAAAAACTGAAAGAACTGCAGATGCTGTAAATCTGGAACAAAAACAAAGTTGCTGGAAAAGCTCAGCAGGTCTGGCAGCATCTGTGAAGGAAAAAACAGAGTTAACTTTGGATCTGGTGACCCTTCCTCAGAACTGATGGTAGCAGGGAAAACATCAGTTTATATGCAGAAAAAAATGGGAGGGGGATGGGGTAGGGGGTAAACGATAGGATAGAGTCTAAAGAGAGAGAACAGCAGTTGGGCAGACAAAGAGTTGATAATGATCAGGCTGGGAGGGTGAATAGTTGTTAATGGAGACTATTAGTGACGAATATCAGGTAGTGTGTAATGGCAGGCTATGTGGTAACAAGGCCTGGTGTGTGGGGTGGGGGGCTGGGACATGGGAGAGTTTAGGCCCTAAAATTATTGAACTCGATATGGAGTCCAGAGGGCTGCAGGGTCCCCAAGCAGAAAATGAGGTGTTGTTCTTCTAGCTTGCGTTGAGCTTCGCTAGAACAGTGCAGCAAGCCAGAGACAGACATGTTGGTCAGGGGACAGGTTGGTGCATTAAAGTGGCAGGCAACGGGTAAGTTTAGGGTCTTTTTTGCGACCAGAAATTATGGATTCAATTACTTGCAGAGGTGGTGGTCTAGCTCAACAGCTGAAAACTAGGAAAAGGCATGCTTCTGCCATTCCAGAAAGCCATGATCAGATTTTATGGTTGCCAGGCAGTTAGTTGCCTGAGCTTGGGACTTCAGCTCCCATGAGGGAAAATGTCCCACCTCAGCGAGCTGCCAGCTGATCAGATAACCATCAGCTCTCCAGTCCCAGGAGCACTACTGAGCAGTGGCTACCAGTGGGATTGTAGTCAACCCCTGCAAGTAGTGATGCTCAAGGTCACACTTCAAAGTAAATGGAGAAGCCTCACTGCAGGAGTTCAGGAAGGCCCAAGCAAATAGTGGCAAGGGAGGCCCTTAAGTGGCCACTAGTTGGTGACTCAAAAGCCTCAATTTACACAAAGGTAGACAGTCACTCCTTATCTACTCTGCCACTAGTAATATACCGAGGTGGGTAAGTGCCCCTACCATTCCATCAGCACTTGAGTGGGAGGCGTTGGGATGACATAATATTCCAGCCTGTGTGAAAGTGAGATAAGAGAGTATGAAGTAAATAGAATGAGGTTATTGTCTGCTATGTAGCTGATGTCTTTCTAATGCCACAAGGCTATGGCAAAATATAGTGGAAGATTGTTTTGCAAGGATAAACAAGTTCAAAACATAAACATTTCGCTGGCTTTAAATAAGACCTTGATTATTCTTCTAGAATATTAGAATAAGAAATGTAGCAAATGTTAAGTGAAGGGCCTCTAGGTTTATATCCAGTTTATACACTGTCAGTTATCATGATTGGCTTTTTACTCTAGAAAGACAACAAATTCGAGTAGATTTATTATCATTTAAAATAATGAAAACAAATACATTATTTCAGTCTGACAGATCATAAAAGTCCCTGAGATAGGTTACATAATCATTCAACCAGACTAGGTACCAGACAGCATTTCTTTTCACAGAGTGATGGAAAAATCTTCCAACACGAGAAGAGACTATGAATTACCTATTTAAATTCAAAGGGTACCTAAACAATCTCCTAACAGTGGCCACCATATGTACAAGAAATATTTGGGGGTGTCTCATCTCATTGCAGAGTCCTAGAATTTGTTTGATCACCTTTGAGGATTAGTCTGAAACTTCTACATTAACAAATCAGAATTGTCATTTTTATTCCCTACATTACCCATAACCAGCTTTCTCTGCCATTCCTTTTCTGAAGATGGTGGCCTTCTGCTGATGTATATTTTCAAAGGTGCTGGTTTCCTTCCAGTACCTCACCTAAAAGATTATCATTCCTGTTACAACCAGTATTAGCAGGCTACTTAATGAGAAGGGCAAGTAAGCGATAGGGTTAGAGGCAATTCTTTTCTTACTCAATATCCAAATATGTTAACATTCCAAAAATAAAAAAAATTGAAGAAATTCCCAACCTAAACCCAGGACTCCAGTGGAGAATTAAAATTGCTACCAATGACTCAGACGAGCAAAGCCCAGGAAACCAGAACTCATAGCTCAATTTTCAGTAAGATTACTCATTGGATAGCCTCAAATAGGCATTGGGATATCACATTTGTGTAATACAATTATTCACTTTTAACTTTTGCATTAATTTTAACTACTTTTCATTTTCTTAACAAAGATTCCTTTCTGTGCAATAAAATGAAAAATTAGGAGAAAATGTACTTCACATCAATTGGAATCACTAAACCACAGGGGTTAAACATTAATTTTACACAATCTTGACACAAAGCTATTATAAACAATTTGGCACATTTACTGATATGTTGCTATTTGATATTCTCCTGAAGTTGTGAAAAGTGAGTACTTGTGACCTACAGCATGCAATCCTAACGTTCACAGGAGCAGGCAACATTTACTGAAGGATCAAATATTGCATCCTTTTGGAAGCATGAGTATGTGTTGTGTTAAAGTTAGTTTCCCAGGATTTTGATTTGAAAATGCTGATCCACTAGAAATTCCACAGACAGAGCAAATAATTCACTGTCAGCCTCAGCAATGTCACTATGAACAAAGAATAAAGAACAGTACAGCACAGGAACAAGACCTTTGGCCTACCAAGACTGCACTGACATGTGCCTTTCTAAACTAGACACAAAAGGTTCTTACAAAGTCTATATCCCTCTATTCCCTATATCTTCATGCTTCTGTTCTAAAAATTGCTGTTATATCTGCTTCTACCAGCTCCTCTGGCTGTGTATTCCAGGCACTTACCACCCTCTGTGTAAAAAATCTGTCTCTCACATCTCCTTTTAACGTAGACAAACAGGAGGCTGGAAAAACACAGCAAGCGAGGCAGCATCCAGATGAGCAGCTGCAGATAAGGGTGGGGAGGGAACTGGGTAGCGAAATGGTGGTGACAGGTGGACACCAGTAGTAGGTGTGACCTGGTTGGTCGATGGGAGGGATGAATCCAGTTGGTGGCTGGACGGGAGCGTCAGTAGGTTGAATGGAAGGTGGGGATGGAAATGAAGCTGGGGGATGGTTGGGAAGGTTATTTGAAATTAGAGAACTCAATGTTGAGCCCTCTGGGCTGTAGGGTGTCCAAGTAGGAGATAAGGTGTTGTTCCTCAAATTTGCGACCCCATTTTACCTTAAATCTGTCTTCCCCAGTAAGTCACATTTCTACCTTGGGAAAAAGACTCTGACTATTGATTCGATCTATACCTTGCATAATTTTGTAAACTGCTATCAGGTTGCCCTCAGCCTCCAAAGTGTTCAAGTGAAACAAACCAGGTTTGTCCAGTCTCTCCTTATGGTTAACACCCCCCAAAACCAGGCAACATCCTAGTGAACCATTTCTGTACCCTCTCCAAAGTCTCTACATCCTCTGGTAGTGTGGCAACCAGAACTGTACACAATATTCCAAATGCAGCCTGACAGCTGTAACATGACTTTCCAATTTTTGTACTCTATGCCCCAACCGATGAAGGCAAGCAACTCATACACCTCTTGACCATCTTATCCACTGCTATTGCCATTTTCAGGGAACTGTGGACCTGTATGCCTAGATCCCTCTGTATGTTAATGCTTCTCTGGGATCTGTCATACACTGCATACTTCCCTCCTGCATTAGACATTCCAAAACTTATCAGCTCATATTTGTCCAGATTAAACTCCATCTGCCATTTCTCTGCCCACGGCTCCAGCTTATCTAAATCCTGCTGTATTACCTTCTGTATCAACCTGCTACGAAGGACCTTGTCAAAGGCCTTGCCAAAGTCCACGTAGATAACATCCACTGCCCTGCCCTTAATCATCTTAGTCACTTCCTCAAAAAACTCAATAACGTTTGAGAGACATGACCTTCCCCGCTAAAATGCCGTACTGCCCATTGCTAGTAACTCCATATTTTTCCAAATATGAGTAAATCCCGTGATTAAGAACCTTCTCCAATAATTTCTCTACCACTGACATAAGGCACACTGTAATTTTCTGGGTTATCCCTGCTGTCCTTCTCAAACAAAGGAACAACACTGGCTGTCCAGTCAAAGATCTACAAAGATTTTGTACAAGGACCCAGCAATTTCCTCAGTATTCTGGGCTAGATCCCTTCAGGTCCTGGGAACTTGTCTACATTAATGCTTTTCAAAACACCCAACACCTTTTTAAATATCAATATGCCCTAGAATATCAACATACCCCCCTCTAAACTCACCATCCACCATTTCCTTTTCCTTTGTTAATACTGATGTAAAGTACTTGTTAAGGACCTCACCCATTTCCTCCATCTCCCTCCCCTTACCCGAGCTACCCTCTCACTCCTTATATACATATAAAACATTTTAGGATTTTTCTTAATCCTGTTTGCCAAGGACATTTCATGGCCCCTTTCAGCCTCCTCACTCTTTATTCAAGCTCCTTCCTGCTTTCTTCATATTCTTTTAGAGCTCTGTATGTCTTCAGTTTCCTAAACCTTACATATGCCTATTTTTTTCTCTTCTACTAAGCTCACAATTTCTCTTGTCATCAAGGTTTCCAAATCTTGACATCCTTAGCCTTTATCTTCACAGGAACATGCTGGTTCTGAACTCTAATTGACTGGCCTTTAAAAGGTTCCTACGTAACAGAAGTGGATTTATCTTCAAACAGCTGCCTCGAATCTACATTGCCCAGTTCTTGCTTAATAATGCCATAGTTAGCTTTCCCCTCCAATTTAATACTTTCCCCCAATGACTACTCTTATCTTTATCCTTAAGTAAATTAAAACTTACAGAATTATGGTTACTGTTCCAAAAATGCTCTCCCACTGAAACTTCGATCACCTGGCCAGGCTCATATCAGGTCTAGTATGGCTCCTTCCGAAGTTGACTATATACATATTACTTCAAGAAGCCCTCCTAGACACACCTAACAAATTATCCCCAATCCAAGCCCCAGGCACTAAGGAAGTTCCACTCAAACAGGGTAAGTTAAAATCACCCATCTCAATAAGCCTGTTTTTACATTTTTCATAATCTGTGGTCATACCGGTTCCTTTATCACCCATTGGCTGTTGGGAGGCCTGTAGTAAATCCCATCACAGTGATTGTATCCTTCCTATTCCTGAGGTCTACCTATCTGGCCTCACTGGATGTGCTCTCCAAGGTGTCTTTCCTCAGTACAGCTACGATACTTTCCCTAATCAGAAATGCAGCTCCCTCATCTCTTTCAAATCACTATCATGCCTGAAACATCTAAATGGTGAAGTAAAGAACAGATACTCCTGACCAAAATCCAAAGCTGCTATGTTTGGTGGGTGCTGCTACCAGACAATTTTTTACAGGAACATTTGCAATGGCAATGACAGACGTCTGATGTACAGGAACCCATTTCTTTGGGTTCATTCAGGCAATTGTGTAACATCAGAGATCTTAAGAGACGTCCAGATCAAAATCACCCACAAAAAAAAAATCAGGATCACAATTTACCCCAATGATCATATGTATTGAGAAAGTGAAAGGTAGAAATAACAATGATAAATGTTCTGAAGAAGAGTCATACTGGAATTGAAGCAGTAATTCTGTCTCTCTCCTCAGATGCTGCCAGACCTGCTGCATTTCTCCAGCATTCTGTTTCTGTTTTAGGTTTCCAACATCTGCAGTAATTTGCTTTTATTATAATCATGAAAATCACACTCTCCATGTTAAAATGCATTACTGTCAAAACTATTGTCAAAAGTGTGCATCTGTACTGGGAGCTGGTGAGTGTACAGTATGAGTCTTAAGGAGACAAACAGGAGACTGGAAGAACATAGCAAGCCAGGCAGCATCTGGAGGAAAGGAGCAGTCAGTGTTTCGTGTATTCCCTTCTTCAGGATTGGATGTGGGGAGGGGGAGCTGCAGTTAAAGAGGGGGGGAAGGGGTGGGGTCGGAATGGTGGTGATAGGTGGATACTGATAGTAGGTACCACCTGTTTGGTTGATGGGAGGGATAAATCTGATTGGTGGCTGGAAGGGAGGGTCAGAGGTGGAATGAAAGGGAGGAGGTGGGACTGGATGGGAGAAATTGGAGAACTCAATGTTGAGT